CCCCAGAAAGATGCACAGTGAAACCCAGTGGCACCAACAACGGTGATCACTGCACATTGGTGATGGTCGCGCGCACACGCACGTGGCCGTCCTCGCCCACCAGGCCGGCGGCCCTCCACGGCCCCTCGCTCCACGCCTTCTGCATGCAGCCCTTGAAAACACCTTTGTGAATGTACCCTTTCCTGCCGCTGACATCAGCAAACGTGCACTGCCCAACGCCGGATTCATGTGGCACGAGGCCGCCCCTGCCCATCGTGACGTCTGCAGTTGCAACTGCCCCCTCCACGACAACGCCTTGTGGCACCAGAACCATCTCAAAAGAGACTCCGCCCCCCAAAATGAGCGCACAGAGGTGCAGGCGCCATTCGAACCCTCCCCAATATTGTGGCTCCGACACGGTGCGGTTGGCGCCTCTGACGCCGGCCTGCACAGCCTCGTGGATGCGCCGCAGCTCAACAAGGGACAACCCCCACTCAATCACCAGTTCTTTGACGTTTGAATATGGTCGTGGGGGCAGGCGCCAGGCTTTGGCCCGTGCAAGGATGGGGTTGTGCCGCAGCATGCTGATGCGCAGGGGGCCCGGCGCGTGCGCCCAGGCCGCTGCTACCTGCCATGGCATGCGGCTGGCCAGCCACGCGCTCTGCCCCACCACTGTCAGCAGGTATGGGCTGGTCACATGCGGCAGACGGACGAGCCTCGCCAGCTGCAGCTGCTGCTCAGCTTCGCCGCCGCCCCGCCGCCGCAGCCACATGTCACAGACGAGGAAGACGGTGTTTTCGCTGAAGACCCGGGTGGCGCTGCTCTCAAGCAGACACCGCAGCGCCTTGAAGGGCAGCCCCAGCAGCCGCTCTCGCCTGGCAGCATCCAGCATTGCCACCTCCAGGTCGCCCAATTCTTGCTGCAGAGTGGCCGCGGCCGCGGCAAATGCAGTCATGTAAGCCGCGTTCTCCTCGCAGCCCGCTGGCAGCGCCCAGATGCTTTGCGCGACGTCCCAGTCCAGCGGCTCGGCCGTTGTGAAGCGGCCGCCGGCCGCCGCGACGACGCGCGGCACCTGGATCCTGTCTGCCAGCCGCAGCACCTGCGGAAGGGCGCAACGGAGTGCAGCGTGTGCATGCGACGAGTCCGCTGCGTCAGCCAACCCTTGATTGTGAAACTGCAAGGCGCTTTTGCAGACGCATGTTGATGAGTTTGCAGTGCAGCGCAGGGGAATAACCTGCAGGAGTGTTGCCAGGGGGACATCCTGCACTTGGGCCTCCGGGTCAGCGCCGTAGATGGCGCGTAGCAGCAGCTTCACGGCGGCCACATCAGCTTCATCAGACAGCACCAGATCCAGTACGCGCTGCTGAGACTGTGGGGGTCGGGAGGGAGCAAAGGCTGGGGAATGTATGTCATATGGCAGGTATCAATCCCAAGGCCTGCAAAGACGATCAGTATCAGGGTGGATGTCACGTATGAGTGCGTTGCTGTGCTTGTGGTCAAGGGGTGCAAACCAAATTCAGATGCCCGCCGCATTGGAGCCCACCTCGAGGGACTCCTCGCTGCCCAGCAGGGCGCGCGCCCAGCCCGAGGCCTCCTCCAGTATCACGGAGTGCACCGCCAGCACGGCGGCGATGCGCCGCTCGCCCGCGCTGCGCTGAGCGCTGCCAGCCTGAGCAGCGGGTGACGATCGCGAGCGCTTGGCAGGGCGCTCCTCCTGCTCCTTCTGCTCTTCCTGCTCCTTCTGCTTCTCCTGCTCCTCCTGCTCCTCCTGCTCTTCAGCATCTTTCACAGTATCATTGACTTCGTCTATCACAATGCGTAATTGGACGTCTGAGTTCTTGCCTGTCTCGAGCCAGGAAGTGAAGTCTCGTGGCGCCGCTGCCATCGTTCTGAAGTATGCGCAGTCATCCTATAATCAATTGTAAAGGGGCGCGCTTTGTGCATGACGCTGCTGGCCACATCTGCCGTGTGTAGGTGTCAACGGTGACCCATCCACAACGAAGCCAGGTAGTGACCAGCACGGGCTGAACGCTCAGAGATACCTTCACGAGTTGCCGATGATATGAATGCTCATTTGAAATGACTAGAACAGTTGGAGGGCTGCACAAAATGATCCGAAAGTGAAAGCGATCTCATTGGCGCCATTCTCCACGCAATCAGCTAGCTGAATCCAGGCAGGCTGGAAATGCATTAAGTATCCCACTTGCCCAGATGTCGCTGCAGCTGAGCGCCAGCCGCCCTCGGCAGCTGCAGTACAGCGCGACGGGCCTGCGCCGAGACCTGCGCCTGCTGGAGGTGGACGAGGCCCTTCTATCTGAAATCGCACGTGACGGGTGCGTCGCGGCAACAACCAGGGCTATATGCGTAGCCATAGCCGCTGCAGGAAGCCATGCGCCTTGCGCATGGTGTGGCGCTGCTCAGCATCGATGCAACCGACGCCTCACAGCAGGCGCCGTCGCGTGCCGCCTGCATGCCGCACCCACGATGATGCAGCGTGGTTATCAAGGGCGGCCACGGCGACGACGCGGTGCTGTGCACGGTCGACAAGACGTTCGCCTTGAAATACGTCGAGACCACCAACGCGCTGCTGCTGGTGCCGCCAGACGCGGTGCGGTGGTTCAAACCGTAGCTGCATGCTGCCGGCAGTAGTCTGCATGCCGGAGCCGCTCAGCGGCCCTCGGCCTGCTGAGTACCTGGGACCTTCTAGTGGATGCTGAAGCCTCGGCCATTCTGGGATCTGGGCACGCTCCAGACTGGTTGTTCGACACTCAAACGGTCGGCCTGACCCGGCACCGCCCGCAGGGTGGCGATGAAGAGTTTGGGGGGATGAGGAGCCTCACACCCCCTGGTGAGCGCCGAGGGTGACGACGCGCCTCACGCAAGACGGGGGCCGCGCCATCGCGGTTGGTATGATACGGCTGCTTGAGCCCGTACCACCGTGGATCGGCCCCTCAGCAAGAGCCCATTTGGCCCCTCAGATGCGCGCATCTCACCCGCCCCGCCCTGCCCTCCTCGTCAGCGGACGCGAGCGGCCAAAGGGATATGGGGCTGCAGACGCAGCTGCAAAAGGTGACTGCCGCCGTGCTCGCACCTATTGGCCGCCACATGCCGGGCTTGTCGCTTGCGCCCACTTCGACGACTCCTGCCTGTTTATTTGCCAGCTCCTTGCAATACATGACTGGCCACGTCACCCAATTCTGTTTTCCCTGAAGAATATTACAGCTAGTCATGCCGCCTTGAGATCAGGAGTGCGGCACGCCCGACTTGACATGGCCACATGGCCACACCACTCTCTGTTGTTCCCCTGCCTGCCCGCAGGCGGCGACCGCGGAGTGCGCCCCTCCCCTGGTGGCGACCGCGACTGCAGTGGCGCACATAGAGGTGCGGGCCCAGTGGTAACTTGCGTACCGAGCGCGGGCAAGCGGGGCACGGATTCATGCTGGATGCGTGCGACGCGGCTCGCCCGGCACGTCGCGCCCAGCCCCACAATCATGGATTCATATTTGATGCACTCATGCATGCATGTGCACGTGCATGTTTACGGGCAAGAACTTGCACACTTGAGCATGCTGGCGCCCTTTTTCGCATGACGCACCAATCGTGCTGTGCAGGCGGTGCGCTGCCTGCCGCGCCTGGGGCAGCTGCGGGAGCTGCTAGGCAGCTGCCGCCCCTATGGCCTGGAAGACGAGCAGGCGGACGATATGGACGTCGATGCACAGGGCGGTGGTGGCGGCAGCAGCGGCAGCGGCGGCGGGGGCTGGCGTGACCGGCTGCCGGCGGCGGGCGGAAGCGGGGGCGGCGGCGGCCAGGCATTGGGGTTCACCACACAGCAGCTGCTTGAGCTGGTGCAGGTGAGGAGTCATGCTATTGGGGCCGGCACGTCGCCATGGTAGACTGGCTCAGACATGATGTAGCTTGGGTTCCTGCAATTCAGTGTCAGATACCGAAAAAGCATCCCGAACCCGCCTGTGCCGTCCCTGCGTGGGCCGCCGCGCTCCCTGCCAGCCCCGCCCTCCACCGCTGCCGATCGCAGCTTGACGTGGCCCCCCGCCCCGCGCTCCCGCGTGCAGGCCAGCCGCGCGGAGCTGCTGCTTGAGCTGTCGGCGTTGCGGGCAGTGAGCCTGGGGGGCAGGTGGCGGCTGGTGGAGCCCGCTTACCTTGGGGGCCTCCTGGAGGTGCTGCTGCTCAGGTGGGGCCGAATTTCAAGTTTCGGCAGCGACAGCCGGGGGGCGGTGGGGCTTTACGTCGTGAGGTGGGGCGCCTGGTCGGCTCGCAGCCGCTGTTTGCACGCGTGCTTCTCGGTTTCTTGCAGCCTGAGGCCGCGGGGTGCGCGTGTGCCTACCCCTTGGATGGAGTGGTCTGATGTAAGCAGCTGGGGGGAGGGGGCGTCGGCCGAAGCACTCCTGCCGGCTGGCCTGCCCAGCCCTTGTTACACCAATGCCCTGGGGTGCGTACGCCCGCCGCGCCTGGCGCCGCACCGCAGCGCGACGGAGAACGGCTGGCCCCTAGACGCCATACCCGTTGAGGAGGCCTGCCGTGTGCTGGCGGCGGACGGGTACCGGCCCGCACTGGTGGGCGGGGCCGCTGAGGCTGTGGGCAGGGCGCCGCGCGGCAAGCGGCGCGTCCTGCCGGCCGCGAGTGGCACGCGGACCGCACCCTGCGCGACCGCTTTCTTTGTCAGTGCAGAAAGGGTTCTGAAGGCACCAGTGATGTCATGTAGTTGTCGAATTCAGGTGCTCCGACTCTCAACAATGGTACACCCCAGAACAGTCGTGGCTGATGCAGCCGGCTACTGCCTGCCTACCCAGTCCTTTCGCCCGCGCTCTGGCATGCGCCCCGAATTCCCACCCCTGCCGCCCTTCCCCCCCCCCCCAGGTCCGGCACTGCTTGCAGGTTTATGG